CGCGTACTAAAAGGCGCTTTTTGATATTTGTAATAATAACAACTGTCAAAAAAGACATATATTTCAAGCTGACCAATTTTCTACGGTAAGTTCTAATTTATAAAATATTCAAATAGACCCTTTCAGTTAGCGAACGTTTAGTGTATGTTATCACTTCCACTCTATGGATCAATAATGATTGGAAATGATTCAAACGTTTTGAAATATAAGAGCTGCTGGAGACGGATGGAAGCCACTATTATATACAGTGAATGAAACAGCTATTTAAATATGCAAGATTTTTAACACGATTCGTAATCAAATTTTGCAACGAGTTGCATACACATTTTTTACACTAAAAAGAATGTCGAAAAGCAGAACTTTTAAGCACTGGATTCTGAAAAGTAATACTTTTCTAAAGTATTATTTTAGTTATGATTTATTATATAATATAATTTTCAGTAATTATGTTAAATACGATATATATATATATATATATATATATATATATATATATATATATATATATATATATATATATATATATGGCCTTTTGGGCTAGTTTTTACCGAAATTGTACTTGCGAGCATATCACGGAGTATTTCGGAGTATTTTTTAAACGGTTAAAATGGTCTCACGCCGATTCACATCGCCATGCTGCAGTGCCGCCATGCAGTGCCACTAAAGAAAAAGAAAACATCACAGTGCCATCCCGAGCAAAGTTAAATAAAATAACTACGTGATTTCATCTTAAAAAAAGTTTTGTTATTCCAGATATCATTCTGTTGTTATCGTATAACTAATTTAGTTATCATCCATAAATAATTTTGTTATCAGTTGTTATCATGAAAAAATATGAATTAATGTAAGCTTAGTTCAAAACTTTAAATCTTATGCGTATGGTAAGAAAATCATACTGCCAGTTTTTAGTTGTCAGCGTAAGTCTTTCATACCTAATAGATAAAATAAGTAACCTATGATTTCGGTCCAATGTACATATTTTGGATTTCCTACTTAGTAAAACCATAGAGGTAACTCTAAGACTAAGACTAAGAAGGTCCCGAAGAAACGTGCTCAAATTATTGGCTCAGCTCGGGTACTCTCTTTGGTCCAAAGCTAATCGATGCATCCCTCGAAACATAGGAAAATCCACGAACCCCTCATTTTATCTGCCAAACTTTCATAGCAAATCAAAACAAACATAGTGTAGTACTAGAAACTAGCACTAGTGAGCCAATTTAAAATTAAATTCAGAGCCTCATAAAAATGCGAATACATATTCTATTATATTTGGTTCCTAAATTACAGATATGAGTAAGGCTTTCTCCAGGTGATTCATTGCAGCATCCAACAATGACTTCAAGATTTCCAGTGCACAATCACTCATGACATCACTCATGAAATTGGAACTCCTTTTGTTCTGCACTGCAGCAAACGTGAAGTTCCAGTTTCTTTGTTATAAGTTTTGTGAGAGCTGATATTTGTGCTCTTGAAATTTTTATGTGGTACTAATTGATCAGAAATAAGGTTTCCACAGCGATTCAACTTCAAAACGCTAAAAAATACACACACAAAAACGGAGTGCAAAATTTTGCACCAATGTTATGCAACATAATAATAAATTATATAAATTAGCCATGAATCCCTCCAGTAAGTTCTCGGTACATCTTTTACCTACGGATTAAGCGAAACAAATTTGTAAATATTACTGTTTTTTTTAAGATTTCGTTCACGTTTTGTAGACGCACATGCATCATTTGGCAAAAGAACACGGGGCTTTTCTGTGGTGGAAAAAAAGTGACTTCCATACTATCACAGATTACAAATTCGACAGTGTGCATGCATAAGGGCGTAACCGCGATGACCGATTCTCTCTTTTGTTAATAACTCACTTGGATTAACACATCTCGGTGCGTTTGCTGTTGCCTTTGATAGTCAATACAACCTGTTACAGGTTAAAACACTACATTGAACAAATTTCAGATAATATTTATGCTGAACATTGCATTAGCTTCTAAGTATAACATTGATCGATTCTCTTCGTTGACTTTCTCTTTCGTTAATAACTTGAGCACATAATAGTTTCTTGTTGTGTTTGTCGTATTAGATGCTAGATAAAAGCTTCTTTTATTGATCTGCGTGCTGAAAATACCTTCTTCTTCTTCTTATTTACATTTGAAGTTTATTGCTTAGTGTATATTAGCTTATTGCGTGCTCTCAACTTAGTGTTCTAGTGTTCTCGACGGTACCTTTATTTATGCTTAGAGAATAGCATTGTAAGTACCTGCTACTTGGAGAATAATGCAATCCAACGGCTTTCTCCCATCAGCAAAAAATCCGGGATTTTATAAACCATTCTATAGCATAATTTTTCAAGTAGGATGGACTTACATAGCTAATCTAAAAGCATAAATAGAGGTAACGTCTGATAATTTCAGTGCTCGAGATATTCACGATAAATACCGAAATTTCGCATAAATGCCAAACCCGTTTTTGTGTGCTTTTTTATAGCATTCTTAGGAAGCCCTAACTGAATATTAAAAAATTGTTGAGACATAGCACTGATTTAACTGTTGCCCAATGCTTAGGGAACTTTCATAAATAACGTAGTAGTTAAGGGGGGAGAGAAGTTTCAGAAGTTGTGACCGGCCATTTATTAAGTATATCAAAACACGTTACGAGGGGGAAGGGGGGAGGGGTAATTGGTCAAAAAATTCTACGTCATTTATGGAAGGTGCCGTATTTTACTTCCAAGGCTGTGACCCAATTGGCGAGTTAAATTTATTTCGTGGTTAAAAGTGACAGATGAGTTATCGAATAACCCTGCTATCCTAGCGTGGTTATTTCTGACCGATTTGAAGTTAAATTTTGGCAAACGTGGCTGAGTTCTGTTTGAAGCTCGATCAATTTTCGGCATTTTCAAACATTGAAAATAGCTTACGAGATGTCACGTTCAACCACGAGTAAAATTTAACTCGGCAATGGGCACACAGCCCAAGAAGTATTTCTCGATTACTTTTTCGAAAGGACATATCAATTTTTGTAAACAGCGCATTTGTTCGTCGATTTGGCGTAACTGGTAGCTCATCCACGCATGCTAACACTTCCATCAGATAGGGGAAGTTTTCCTTTACCTGATATAGTGGTGTAAGTATGCGTGTGCGAGCTATCAGTTACGCCAAACCGACGATAAATGCGTTTTTTAAAAGCTGATATGTCATTTCGAAAAAGTAATCGAGATTTGTAGAACGTCGGATCGTTATCACTCAGACAAGGAGGTTGTTTCACTTCGGAGCGCTTGCGCCATCAAGGCAACTGCTGCCAGCAGCCAGTGATCTCGACGGGAACGACGCGCAAGGTTCGAGGTGGAAAACTCGAACGCTGAGCGCTTGATAGGAACCGCTGCCTTTCTACTGCTGCTACTGCTGCTGCTACTGCTGCTGCTACTGCTGCTGCTGCTACTGATGCTGCTGCTACTGCTGCTGCTGCTACTGATGCTGCTGCTACTGCTGCTGCTGCTACTGCTGCTGCTGCTACTGCTGCTGCTGCTGCTGCTGCTGCTGTTGCTGCTGCTTCTACTGCTGCTGCTGCTACTGCTGCTGCTGCTACTGCTGCTGCTGCTACTGCTGCTGCTACTGCTGCTGCTGCTACTGCTGCTGCGGCTACTGCTGCTGCTGCTACTGCTGCTGCTGCTGCTACTGCTGCTGCTGCTACTGCTGCTGCTGCTACTGCTGCTGCTGCTACTGCTGCTGCTGCTACTGCTGCTGCTGCTACTGCTGCTGCTGCTACTGCTGCTGCTGCTACTGCTGCTGCTGCTACTGCTGCTGCTGCTACTGCTGCTGCTGCTACTGCTGCTGCTGCTGCTGCTACTGCTGCTGCTGTTGCTACTGCTGCTGCTGCTGCTACTACCTGTTCACTCGCCGTCCGAAGCGAAAATGAGTTGAGGCACAAATGCAGTGCTCTATTGTAATTTTTAGATCCTAGCAGCACGATGTGCATCCAAATGGTTTGGGAAGAACGTGTAACTCATGAAAACAGTGCTAAAATTATCATTTTTTATTTGTAAATTTTTAACAGCTTTTTTAAGAATAATTGAAAAAGCGTTTATTGTAGCAGATTATGAGAGTTATTTTCTATCGATTGGTGTATTTGGATTTAAATTTCATCTATAAATGACAAAGTTATAAGCGTTCAAATCCTCACACCTTTTCGTGACTGTCGCAATTTTAGATTTTAGATTTACCCCCAGAACCTTCCCGTAAGACGTAGTCCAAGCCAAAAAAAATTATGGATCACAGGATATGTTATCAAGATGTTTTCAAAGATAAAAAAATCAGTTATATTTGTGATATCGAAGGAGTATTATTTTGCAATATTTTTGTTATGTTTGCTGTTTATTCAACCACAATAAGAACATTTTCAGTTATCAAATCTTGATAACCGGGTATCAGAACTTGATATCAATTTGGCAATATTTAATAATTTTTATGTATTCTAACTTTAGAGCAAATATTTTTCAATGAAACTAGCAAAATATTATATTTTGCCAACAAGTCAAACATATTTTGCCTCGATTCGGTTGCTTTTACTATTCACTATTTGTGAATAGTAAAGATGCTCGCAAAAGTTAGACTATGCGTATGCGTATGCGCAAGTGCAGTAGAATACGATTGGGTTTCAAGTAGCAAATGAGACGAATCAAGCGAGTGTGATTAAAACGAGTTCATACATAAATCCATCACAATAAATATATAAAAACTAATAAAAGGAAGAGCATTCTTGTTGTGAAGTGCATCGATGTCGCTTTTCAGTGGGTACATGTCATAACAATACGTGCATGTTGTGTTATTTCAGATGTTCCCATATGATTCGTAATAATATTTTTCTAGGCAATCAATTGTCTTTGAAGACAACTCCATTTTTCAAACACGAGGTCATAACTTTTCTTTGTCTTACTTTTACGCACCAAAAAAATGTCCTGTTGATTTTTATTTTTATTTCTAACTATATGTTGATTATAGGACGAGAAGAATCAACTACTTATTACCAATATTTGGCTTTCTTTGGTAAGTTTTGTAAACTAATAATCCAATTAAAATAAATGCACATACGGTTAAGCTTTGTGATGAATATTGTGTCAAATTATGTTTCCTATCATTCATATATCATAATTTCCTTACTGCAGTTCTACCAATTTCACCTTTTATTGGAACCATTGCACTGTAAATTACATTCTGTATTTATGAATATTCGTTGGATTTAAATATAATGTTTCATATTTTACCGATCACTGCACGAAGATTAATTCTCAATTTTTATTTCTCACAAGAGTAAACATACAATTCACTTAATTGCTTCAGGATTAGATTACCATACCATTTACTCTTATTAATTTAATTCGCTATTAGGGTACGAAGGTATAAAAAGCTACCCTCTACCCCTCTGGGCAAAACGTTTCCTATGTACGAATTCAGGCCTAATATAAATACAATAGTGATGGGCAATCCAAGTATTTAATAGGACAACTCTGGTGTGCAAGTTTCACAGCTTTCAATTGTCACAAATAAATAATAAAAATAAAACCCTTAATAGTACTCATCCAGCTTAATCTTTTACGCCATTTGGAAAGCATATTTAAGAAAGTGTTTATTCCATTTGGCTATATGCTGTATGAGACATCTAAAGTCAATGCTCTGGGGCATGTCATACCTTTGATGAGTCTATCCGCTTAGAATAGGGCATACAGTCTCTTTGTTATGCAAGCATATTAGTTGATAGATGGGGCATATTGCCCCGCCTAATTGAAGAGCCCAGCAATTTAGTGTTATCGAAAAAAATCTTTACTTCTATGTCAACTGCCAATAACGAAAAATAAATGATTACAGGTTATTTATAATTCCCAGTGCAACGGAAATACTTGATCATACGATAATTGAAGTGAAAACGGTAAACATATTGCTCCTTTTCCATAAGCGAGGCGTATTACATCTGTTGCGTATCTGCTGAATTTTCCTTCTGCCAACCTGTCGCTATTTGTTAGGGCACGTTATTTATAGAGAAGTAAGGAATACAACTGAAGCCTAAACGTAAAAAAGGGTTATGTTTGTGAGTTCTGAGACACAAGAAACGCGCTAACACATTGTAAATGACCTGAAGGTACACTGTAGAGATCTTAAATCAGTGTACTCTAAATAGCACATAAGAAATCCAACAGGTTGTAAAAGCATACACAGCTGAAGTAAGAGTTAGGCAGAGCCAAATTCGACCATAGAAGAAAAAAAATCAAACCATTTCCATGAACAGGATCCTTAACTCATGGCTTACAACTAATATTTCTCGAAGAGAGATTGTTTTTAGAACACAGCAAAAAAATAATTTTAAAATCACATTAAAGTAAATGCACTTCAATCATGTCGAGAATATGGTGTAATATAACTTGCCAAAAAGACAAAATTATCATTAATACAGTGAATGAACTAATATTAAGCTGCTTTTACTGCATTTGTTTGCCATAAAAATTACATGAGATTTTCGACTGGATTAAAGTGCATCCTTTTGGATGTAATATTATTTGTTGCTGTGAATAGTGTTCAAAACGAACCTTAGGCTAGGGGCAAAAGATCATAAACTAAATTACAGTACTTGAGAAGTTTTGCCAGAAAGGCATACATGTAGGGGACAAAACGCACCAACTGAATTTCTTTTGTATTTTTCATGGATTTTTCGTAGCTTGTTTGATGTCTTATCAAGTTGCACTTCTAGCATAGCATCTGAACTCGAAATGCTGCATGGAAAATCTTAAAATTAGATTAAAAATTCCAAGAAAAACTTAAAATAAAATGAAAAGTGCGCTCTACTCCAGGGTACGTCGTACCATTGCAGTTGTTATCGACTCAAAATTTTTGCCGCTCTTTAGGCTATTAAATTTCCTGCTAACATATCAAAAGTATGTCTACTTTGTCTTATATAATGATCGCAAAAATGTTCTCTGTGACTTTACAAATCATTAACATATATTTGTGACTATCTTGGTGAAATTCTGGCTGCATAACTAGTATCAAAACATTTATTTTTATTTTTCACTGGCCTCAACAACTATAAAACGCTTTTCTCCTACTCGAACTTTTGCCCCAGCTTACTTTACTTTTATTTATTTCTTTTTTTTTAGATTGGGTCTGTTAATGTCTTTGCCATACAGGAGGTCATATAGGATAATTCTTGCAGATAAATGATAATGCCTTGCGGGTAAATGTTACGGTCTAAGTCTATAAAGGCCTTAAGAGCTAATTCTAGATAGCTATTTGGTCGACTGTTCAGATACCTATGAGCTAGTTTATAGGCTTTATAGCTCTATTGAAAGCCTTGTGGATCATCTTCACGGATTTTATTGATCAACGCCGTATTGATATCTTTTTGGTCAGCTGCTGCTAACGATTTGAGCACGCTATTTCATGTAAATCAGCAGTGATACATACACATTTGTAAACAATTTAATTTTTTGTGCCAACTTTACAAGACAAGATATTACCCGATAGTTGAAATTCGGAATTTTCTTTTCAATTCAATTCCCAAAATAATTAGACGATTCACAGCAAAAAATACATTTTAATATTACATCCAAGAGGATGCACTTCAATCATGTCGAAAATCTCATGTAATTTTTATGGCCAAAAAAATAAAAAAAAATGCAATAAAAGCAGCGTAATGTCAGCTCATGCACTGTATTAATGATAATTTTGTCCTTATTGGCAAGTCATAGTAAACCATATTTTTGACACGATTGAAATGCATCCACTTTGATGTGATATCAAAATTAATTTTTTGCTGTGTTCTTTAGGATTCTTTGTATGCTGATAGCCGATGAAAAATTGAAAGCACTGAAATAAAAGTGTGGAATGTACTAGCTGCTAGAGCTGTGTTGCCAACTCCGAAGATCTTATCTGTCAACATCAATCTTACTTTATCTAGAGATCTCAAGCATCAATTTGGTATGTCTTAATGATTAACTTCATAGACGATACGTAAATTGTCACAGAAAAAAAAAACATGGAAAAAACATATTACTTGCTGGTCTACTCCTGACACTTTATGGGATACATTGACGGACATTATAGACCATCTTCAAGGTTATGATCCAATTCAGGCAGTCCTATGACAGCATGAAGGTCCTATGATCTTATCCGAAAAAATCAACTTTAGGATCTCTACGAGACTATTAGCGAAGACAACAAATCAAGAAGACTGGCAACGCTTTGATTTTTTCATACGAACGCTATGAGACAGGAACAATCGCGTCATCTGACACCCAAAGGTAAATGCTTCGAACGAATTTGATAGCAAAGATTACATCCTCAGAAGAAAGAGCGGGGAAAGTTGAAAAGGGTCATCAATAATAAAATAACATTAGCCAGATATTTTAGCATTAAAAGCGTCTTATATCATGAAAAAATACTGAATGATAATTATTAACGAAAAATTTTCCATTACAATACATTCTATTGTTGAAAACTAACCCTATTTTAAATATAATGTATTGGTCAAAAATTCATAGTGTTACCACAATAGCTTTACCACAGATTTGTGGGTTAACAATACATTTCTATGTTATCATCATTTTCAACAACAGGAAATATTAAAATACACCGCATAGAGCTTCTCAACAGATATTTTTGCTGCAGAATAACTTATTCAGGCGAATATTACCTTATGTAGCTATATACAGGCTTATTCAACTTTTAACCAGCTTAATTGATTTTTTATAGTTCTTATTACATACTTCCCCTTTCTATCGAAAAAAAACAGGTTGGATTTATATTTATTATATATTGTAAATATTTTACGGGCACCACCACTATTTCGCATTTTTTTTTCCTTGATTTATTTTCCGTCGATCTTGTTTTCCCTGCTGAGCACCAATGCTACCGACGCCACACCTGGAACCTACCCTTCGACCCATCAGCTCATGAACCGGGGACCAACGGCTTTACTTCCCATCCGAAGGAAGGCGTGATCAGAGATGTTATGCCTCAGAACATCCCGGCGGCGCCGACCGGGATTGAACCCAGGCATGCTGGGGTGAGAGGCAATCACGCTTACTACTACACCACCGGTGCCGCTTATATTTCGCGGTTGTTCTCCATCAAATTTAAATTGTATTTTGTATTGAGAATGTGTCGTTTGCCATTTCAACTTGCCCCTCTATACTCATTTCAATTACATCATGGGGTGTAAAAATTTGGGGCAAGTATGAAATGTATGTAATGTCGGCCTAAGTGTCTCTAATTTGGGCACATACATAAATTCAGCAATCGACTAAATTTCCAATAGTAACCAAAATATCCATTAGTACCGTCCCAATGACGCGACATCTAGATACAATTGATAAAAATCAAACTTTTAGCGATGGGCCCAATCTTAGATCCATAGGCCAACATTAGAGCAATTTCCCCAACTTTAAATGTTTGGGATAAAATCAATTTTTTTTTCCGAGGTATTCTATATCATCAGTCTAACAAGCCACCATATGTTTCTCTAGTGCACAAAATTATACTTTTTGGGGAAGATTTAAGCGCTGCGAAATCCACTTTTGTTATACATTTCATAACTCATGAAAATAAAATTGAAAGGCACACAGATTTTTATTTTATTTTTGCTCTATTATAAAGACTTTCAGCCTTTAGCACACTGATTTGTTTTTAACAACCTTATTTGCCAGTCATATGACGCGTTTTGGTGTATATTATAGTGTTTAATATAATTGCAGAGTGGTACCGGTGATGTAGTGGTAAGCGTGATTACCTCTCACCCCAGCACGCCTGGGTTCAATCTCAGTTGGCGCCGCCGGGATGTTCTGAGGCATAACATCTCTGATCACGCTTTCTCACGCGAAAGGAAGTAAAGCCGTTGGTCCCCGATTCTTGAGTTGATGGGTCGAAAGGTAGGGTCTAGGTGTGGGACCTGCCTCCCTGGCGTCGGTAGCATTGGTGCTCAGCACGGAAAACAAGATCAACGGAGAACAAATCAAGGAAAAAATATAATCGCAGTGATTATACACTTCGATAAATAG